GCCCCAATTTGGGTCGTTCGTGGCATGATACAGGTCCATGGCTATCTGATCAGCGAGGTCATTATCCCTAAATATTGCATGACTAGCAAGCCCGTTAAAGAAGGCTATCCAACAATCTGTTGCCCCTCCTCGTAGCTGCCGCCACCAAGGTTCGATCTTGGCGTTCCTTCTGCTTGGTCCATAGGGATGACAGCTATCTAGCCAGTCGCCTTGTTCGTAATGGTGGCTAATTCCATCTTCATCTGTGTATTTGAGCTTCTTTGAGCCAGCTTTCGCTAAGCTTGCTTGTGCTGGTGCCCACAGAGGGGTCTCGGTGCCATGGTCAGACCTTGTAAAAAGTGGCCGCATTTGTAGCCTTTGAACAGCTTGAAGATACTGCTTCAAAGTGCTCATTGATGCTGTAGCTGATCTTCCAATAAAGAACTAGATAATGCATAGCGAACACGCATCAATGCAGCCGTATATCTGAAATCCAACCCGTTTTAGCTTTTTCTAACCATCAAGGGACCAAAGGAAGTTTGGTCCTGGTACTTTAAAGTCTCCTCATTGTTTGAAGTTGCCGTCACGGCGACCGGCAACCTCTTCAGGGAATACAGAGCGATAGAAATCGTATAAACGTCGTTGAGATATAGCTACTTGTGCTTGCTGACGAACGTATTGATAAAGAAGGCCCTTCCCAACAGCTAAGGATCGCTGGGCTTTGTTGAAGGTCTTCTTGGAGGAATTGAATCGCACGATTGAGTCTTTCGTCTTGTTCTTTTGCTGTTCGAACCCTTCGCTTCATCCCCTGATGGTATTTGATCTGCCGTATAACATGTGGATTGGCTTGGAATCTCTCCCTTTGAAGATCACGAAGAATTGAGGTATCAGAGAAGCCAAAGTTGAAGAAGTAATATTTGACTCGATCAGCCAGGTCATCTGAGATCTCCACAGCCTTGTGCCGGCTATTTAGTCCCCAGCGTCCAAGCTGAACGTATAAGATTCGCTCGCTGATCGTTGAACTGTTGTTTAATTGATGATGGATATTAGCCAGGATATCTCGAATTGAGACACCTTCATCATGTAGATTGCATATATCCCCGTACAAGGGCTGAAGCTTATCAAAGCTGCAGATTGAATCTGTCAGCCCCCATTTGCACAGGTACCTCTCAAGAGTACGAATCACGACAGGTTTGCCTCCGTTAGCCACAATCAATTCGTCTAAAAAATAAGGATCTGACTAGAAGATTCGCCGGGAATTCAGCGACTCTCAATAGCTTCTCGAAAAGCCTCAATTTGGCTTTGTGGCGGCATTGCAAAAGGTCCGGGTGTGTTGTGCGGTGTGTTGGAAGTGGGGTTATCGGGTCCGTAGTTATTTGCATAATATCTCACCGTAGTTCTTAGCGCGTGTAGAAAACGCGACGAATACTCCGTCACTGTTAAGCGCCTTGGGTAGATGTGAGTGGGGCCACTTGCGGAGAGGACCGACGACTTGGCCGATGCCTGGACCGCCGTCGACCTCCACTTTCGGAGGCGTGGTAAGGCTAAATTAGAAGATATATATCTGAGTATGCTATTGTTAGAAACCTTTTCGGAAAAGAAAGGACGCGTAATTACTCTTCCCTTTTGGGGGCGTAACGGTTCTCGAGCATAGAGCCGTTCATTGCGCAATCCATTTTGCACTTATTTGAGCAGCAGCTGTTTAATTGAGACGACCAACACGGCGACAGTCGAATTTTGGGGCCGGAAGCGTACTTGAGCTCATTCATCTTCGGAGAACAAAGGGCCACGGAATCATTTCAGCCTTCAATGACTACTGGCTGAATGTAGCATGTTTTGCTTTAAGCGACAGCTCTATTAATGTCTCTGAGGGCATGACAATGCCTCCTTGTCCATCCAAGTTCACTATAAGTACCACCCACACTCAGATATTTCACCGCTTGTGAATCATTCGTGTGGTAGTTAGTGATTATTCAGCTATTATAAACGAATCGGAAAGTTTGTGAGTTAGCAGCCTTTGCAAAGATATGCTTAATATTGATACTCTTCCAGTGCTTGCTCGTGCGAGTAGCAGCGAGTTGCGACCTAGGGATGGCGCCTGTTGATAAATGCGGGACGAGATGTCCGCTCTTTGTTTGTGGATTGTATCATGAACTTATTTCCTCGCGTCAGAGGAAAGCCTTGGTGCGATGGTACGTGGAGCACCAGTTCCCTTCAGTGTGGGCTGCAGATAGCCAACCCACGTTGGTGGACATCGACTGCTGGAGATTGACCCTGAGTCATCTTGTGAGCGAACTAGAGCTTCGGTTCCAGTTGCCTTTTGTCTGGACAGACATGGGTTCGTTGCAACCAGGGGTTCCCAGTGAGAGTTGTCCGACATGGTCTCTGTTTTCCCATGGAGTGTTTGCAGCGTATTATGTAGCTGAGTCTGTAAGAAAGAGTGCGCACGCCAAGTGCACAAGAAGGATAGGAACTGAAAGGGAGCGTACGTGTCATTTGTCGCTCTGTGGTGCTTTCAAAGAGTACTTTGGAAAGGACGGTATGGCCAAATACAATCCTACGTGCGTTCGAGTGTTGAGCACGGATCAAAACCGTTTGTGGGCTATGCTCGTAGTCCTCTATACGCTTGGAGTCGTAGCGTTTGTGGTAGACAGTGACATGGTTGCCGAGAGAGTGCAATCGGTAGTGAATATGTTGTGGCCTTGCATCAAAGATGTAGCGCTAGGTAATACGCAAAGTTGAATTAGGTTGTGTACTTTGTGTGTGGAACAAAGTTAGGACTAGCTTCATTTTCCTGACGCAAGTGTGACTGCCCCAACAAGACCTAAACTACCAATTTGACACTGTAGCCCAGAACACGAGATCTGAACCTTCCTCCGGAGGGATGTCTAGACCTATGAATGGCCCGTTGCGAGGCGATGCAGCCCGAGATTCGTCAGAAGCGACGTTGTACAAAGTCCACGTAAATATGTGGATTGGCAATAGCTTCACGTAAGACTGTGACTGTCAATGGCTTTGGCCCTCCGTGTAAACTAAACTGGGTTCGTACCGAATATTTCGTACGTTGGGGTTGGTCGAAGCCTCCACCTATTTGGATTCATCCAGAGATTGTGCGGCAGGCTCTTCTCAATTTGCTTTCTATTACTGAGTCGAATAGTTTGCAAGGAGGCTACTCTCGGAACGACGTGGTGCTTCGTCCTCTAAGCAACGGTCAGATCTATGAGTGGATTTATTTTGGCGAGACTGGTGCAAAATTCCGCTTCATACAAATCGCAAGACGACATAGGGCTACGATTTATGACTGCAATCCACCTCTCGTCGACTTGTATTTAGGAAGTATCTCTCAGATTTGTCTCAATGAAGTTGTTGATATTGATGGTGTTTTTGTACCGCCAAAAGCACACCTGATTTTGTCCCCAGACTTTGTTTTGTCTAGAGTTGAAAACAAGGAAAACCTGAGAAATATAATAAATGAAGCTCCATTTGTTACTTTGGGGTCAGGAAAATGGTGAAACCGAGTAGTGTAATTAGTATTTGCAGTGGTGCACTGACGGCTGGCTCGGATCTTGATTCTGTGCAGTGAATCCTCCTCCCCTTTGGGTCCATTGTAGCAGTAGCCATGCATCACGAAATTGGCACTCCGTAGAGGCTACTATCACAATTTTTATAGCATATGCAATTATGTTGGTATTGAGAATTCGCTTCCTTTTGGTCTGAACTAAGGGGTCTGCGGCTGCGTAATACGACGTATTTTGACAGAATAATGCAAAGATGATATATCAAGCAGAAACTCTATCTACGGCAAGAGGCTGTAAGAAATGCTACTGCTATTGCCACATTTCTGGTTTAATTCCTTACAGAGTATTTTGCGGGTTTTTCATCTAGCCGCTTGCCACATCTGTTTTATTTGCAGCCTGCTTCTTCCGTCAGCTGTTGGCGATTCGGCCGAAGACAACTTAGACGTGGATTCCGCTACGAAAAACTTACGCAATTGAGAGTCATTCTGTCAGTATGTCCACACTGATGGGTGTTATCGCGCCTTAACAACTCTCTTAATTCTTGCACAAGTATCGCTTACCGGTCCTTTCATGTACTTGAACCCCCCATTACCAGAGGTTCATGGAGCCCAGCGACTCGGTGTTTCGGAAAACGATGTACCACCCTTGTATTTCTATATGTGCAAACCCCCCCCCCCCCCCCCCCAGCAGGATTCTGGCAAGCCAGGTTTGTTTAGCTCTAATGTTGCAGGATTCTTGGAAGCCATGACGATTTAGCTGAACCTAACAGACGGTTCTATTGGGCAAACACTCCAGTTTGTGGTGTGGCCAGACAGCAGGACACATAAAATATGAGGTGAGAAGGGCGAGAAACGGAAATCTAGACGCTAGCAGCTCCGCGGCCACGTCATGCGAGGGAATAAATATGGCAAAATGGTACGAAGGCAAAACGACCGACAGGCCAACTAGTGCTGACAAAAGAGCAGCAGACTTGCTGACAAAGGTATGCTTGCCAAAGTACTTAAGACAGAGATGCCCTGACACAATCGCCATACTCCCCAGTCTACCTTCAACCTCTTCTCACCAGGCTCACCACCAAGGATAGGACATACAGAACTAGGCATGGCATATAACTCAACCGTTCAGTCTTCTGCCCAGCTCTCGGAGCATCATAAAATCCCTTCCATGCCAGGACACAGTTCCAGCCAAAACTCCGCCTTTTGTGGCCTTGAGCCTGCACATCACCACGAACAAAGCCAACATCAAACGGCTGAGCGCACTGTAGCCGACTCTGATGCTGGCTCTGATGTCTCGCTGTCTGACAATGTTGCATCAGAGGCTACCAACTCCACAGTTATCACTCCTGAAGACTATGAACGAATAAGCCGCGAATACGAAGAGGCTGTTAGAGAGACCCATCATAGTCAGATGGGGTGTCACTCTGGTAAAGTATCTGCTCTTTGGGTATATATTCAGTTACACACTCTAACAGCCATAGACGCCGTGTCTCAAGGTTCGCGGAATGCTGCTCAGATGCCACGAGAGACAAATGGCGGTTCAAATCTGGGGAAACGCAAGTTCAGCGCCAAACATGATGAAAGTCAGAGAAGCGACGCCGTGAGAAAACTCAAAGCGAGGCGTGAAGAATCTGAAGAAGAATCGAACCGAGCAAATTCTGAAGGACAAGAAGCTCCATCCACCTTTATCGCTTCAATCAGGACTTGGAGCAAGACAGCGGGAAAGAGACATCCTAGTGATGTCTACTTTCAAGTCAAAGGATTCGCGGACGTCAAACGAGACGAAGGGGGCAATATAAAGATCAAGGTCAATTGGGTTCCAATTTGGGTCCCTATCCAAGACCTCAGGGGAGAGGAGTCATACGACGCAGCCAGAGAATTAGTTGTCGGAAAATTTGGGGAAGATGCGTGGACCAGCACATCAGATGGGTGGGATGCTATGGAACCGTATGCCGAAGGCCGTATTGACTATGCCAAAGAGTAGTTTGCTGTGCATGGCAATTATGAGGCCATGTCTACCTATGCCTAGCTTTACACCTTAGTCACAGGCATCTTATGCCAGACTTCCTTCCTTCGTTACTAAGTGACTGAATAAACGTCCGCTTTCGGGAAGCTGAAAACCATTAGTCAGTCCTTCAAATAAGGTCTGCACACTCCACAGAGCCCCAAGAAGATTATAGAGCTCCTTTGCTTAGTGGCAATTGGCCAAAAGCTTCCCAGTTCTTTATTTCTCAGTCTCCTCACTTTGGTCATTTCAAGATGCCGATCACTCGTGAGCTAACCCTCCACAACCAGCCCATCAAAAGCCTCACTGGGGCTGTGGTGCGTCGAGTACCCTGAAAACTGCTCCGGGGGACTCTCTGACAATAAGTAAAGCAACGAGGTTAGAGCAGCAGTACTCATGTCAGGGTCGAAGGTAGTCATGACCCTTGGGATGTTGCAGAAGCCAGAGATCCGAGTGTTTTCCCGCCAGAGCGGTGGGAAGCTGCGGGCGAATATTCTCTATTATTCTGATGACAGCATTCACACTATAGAGAAGAGTGCATTGGAGGAATTGATGGACTGAACCGAAAAGGAAAAAAAAACATGTCGGTGAGAGGTATTCAGTAGATATACTATTCAGGGGTGGAATCGTGCGGCCTATGATGCTATTGACTTATGAGAGGGCAACTCCGGTTGTTGGAATATCAAGAGATCACCCTCAAAGGGGAGGAGGCGTAAATTGGAGATTGCCGAGAGAACATGAAGATGAACGGCATATTAGCACCTGTTATGAGAGATGATCTGGATTCCCGCAGCAATACGATTAACTGGGATAGCAATGTGTTCTGTTTACTTGCGGTTCTCTCTATTTCCTAACAGTTACATATAGAAGTCGGCTGTGCGAGTGAGTTTTGAGGCGTAGAGGCATGATGCGGTCCGTGCCACCGAAGCCTTGTATGATCTACCCCCGGCGGCTGGCGATTAAGAGGAGTGCCTTGCTGTCCAGATATATCTTGTTGTACATTAGCATGTGATGAAATCTAAACCCCCGTCTCGCCACTCACATTCTGCAATAGGCTTTATATCGTGCAGTGCGTAACTCGTCGAGAACGGCTTCGCAAAGAAGGTCGATGTCCCTTATAGACATGGTAAGAGATAAACTCATAGGGCCGTAGGACAGGGCTTTAATGGCGTGACTAAAACCAGCCCCAAACCAAAATGCTACGTCTCTCTCGTGACGGTCTTCCGACCAAGGAGTGAAGCCGACTCTGATTGAACATTCGTGGATATCTGAAAATCCAGCAGTTCTGAGTTGTCTTCTCGTTCGCTCTGGTTCCACTCTCATCGAACGACCGTGCAGATCCATGGCGCGCAGCAACTTGTCAGTCCAGTCAATAAGGGCGCATTTGTATGGAATATTGCCGCCGTCGAATCGTGGTTCCCAATCTATTTCTACTTGCTCTAAATATCCGACATTCGGTTTTAAGTGTCTGCCAGTGGATTAGTAACGCACCGATAGAGGAACATGTAAGACTGTGACTTTCGAACCGATGTATCTTCCTGTACATGTCTTCCCAACAACGAACAGCCCCAAGGAGCGTCCGGACATGTATCAAATCCCAGTTACGTTCCATAGGCTTCCAATCGCTCTCTATGTCAAACTTCATGGGGGGCTCCATGTTTGCCGGGATCCTAGTCATATTAATGAGCGTTACCCCCACGCCGGTCGATGGCTCGTCTTGCTCACCTCTCGGGTTGAATCATATTCAGGTCTACACCAAGTACTGACGCTCCTGGCAGTGCCCTAGATGAAACGCATTAGGCAGCACTCTCTCTGCAATATGAAGTGGGCGTACTCGGCTATATCAATTGACCAGATACCCGTTCCTGTGCCCAGATCAAGGATTCGTAAGTCTGTTGCGGTATCTAGGGGCGATGAGAACAGGGCACCACCCCGAGCTGTGAGGAAGAACTTGTGAAATATATCCAACCGCTGCAGCTCTTCCTGCACGGAGCATGGTTAGCAGCAGTCTGGTGTCCACATGGCAATTAAGCTTACCCTGTCAATTGGAAATATGTACTTGCTTCTCTTCAGCTTGTCGTCACTTCTTCCATACCATCGGTCACCAAATAGACGTTGCACATGTTGCAAACGCCCGGGATATTGTCCATGGGCGTGATCTAGGTGGCCAATGTCAGTTCAATACGTTCACCGCCGGACTTTTAAGCACTTCAGCTGCAAAGCGAACAGGGTCTCCTGCAGTGTTTACCCTCTGGATTCATAGCGAGTGGAACCGCGTGTGCGTTTTGATGTAGCCGATGTCTCATGTACGATCCTCGTTTCAGACAATGCAGGAGGAAGAAATCTCGGTTCGGGTAATGCTCGGACTTTTTCATAAACCGCCAGTGCCTCGGGGCACGTGAAGCAGCAACACTAATTCTGGGATGCGGCTTCTGAGCAGAATGTTGCATGTATCAATAGCAGTCATAGTCGGCCAGGCCTCCTTTTTTATTATTATTATTGTCATATGTGCTGGTTAGCTCGCATGGTCTATTGACAAACAGCTCGACGACAGCTGGCCGAATATTTTGATGGGTGGGCGTATTTGATCATTTGAGCTTGGTTCTTGACAGTCATGACTCTATTAAATACTTATTGCGGTGTCAATTACACCTCATGAATGCTCGCAGTCTCCTATCTGTCTGTGTCGTTTAGACCATGGCTGCATCCAAAGTATATACATCGTCTGCCGAAGTGAGTTTCCCTTTGCATCGCCAAGTGATTTGCACCGCTCTAGGGTATCGGCTCATCGACTGCTACTAGCGACGAGTCAGAGCGGGCCATACCTTCTCAGGCAGAGCTGAATCTCGTATATGACGTATTCTCAAGCAGTTAGTGAAGGTGTCATCCGGTCAGCCATGCCAACTGCAAGGGCATCTTACTGTCGAAGTCAGACGGCAACGCATTGCTACCTAAACCAGAACTCGGCAAAGTCCAGGGTCTCCATTTCATCGCTGCCAGATGCATAGTATCAGCAATGTCCACTGCACGCCGAAGCACAACACTGGATTATGAGGCAAAGACTGGAAGCATCTAGTCGAGGACGTATTCGAGATGCTAGAGTGACTGGGCCGCGCCTGTCCCTACGGCCTTATTTGCATCGCTCCAACGTGCAGTGAAGCGACCGACGGTGTCGGGGGAACAAGCCAATCAAGCTTCTACATATAGAGGTGCCATCTGAGCCATTGCTTCAGATCAAGCACGGCGGTTGCTAAATTATTCTTAGGTCTTTTGACATGTATGTCACCTACCATTTGTTGGTGCTACACAAGTTTGGTGGGGTGCCAGAGTCGTGCATTGAAGTTATAGGAGGAGGGCCCAGGCCAGCACAGGTGTCTTTGGGCCGCAAGTGGAGGATCGAGTGACTGCAAGTCACCTACTCCGTAGATGTGCAAAGATACTTGCTCAATGGTGCCAGCTTGTCACTAGGACTTTGTCTAATTCTCGACCGCCGCACTGCACTGATAAATACTGACAGGGTGTAAACGCTTGGACGACGTGAACCAAACCATCGCGTTCGCGCCACCCCGGCCTGGTACACTATCTGAGCGCGCCGGGTCACGAAGACCTGTTTTATTCTTCTCTAATAAGCAAGATCATGATCGACTATGCCGCAGCGTCGCCTTCCTATTGTCCCTAAGGAATCTTCAAGACTTCCCCTGCTTTTTCGCGTGTCTGGGTGATGTTTGCCTACCATTTTCTCCCTCAGCTCGAGTGTCTGCTGATGCTTCTGCTCTACCTCCTCGTACCTCCGTAGGTTACTAAGGCAAGCCAACCTGGCAACGTTGTTTATGCTGTCAATTGTGCACGAATAGTTGCTAAATGCTCTTTTATAGCCTGTAATGACCTGCCTTTAACTCTGCTCTCGACAGAGTGGAGTTTCTCGCAACACTTGGTGCCCTACTGAATGGTAGGCGCTGATAATATACCACCGTTGCATTATACTGTTAGATTCGCCAGAACCGACATTGCAGAGCTCCTTCTGCGGCATGGCGTGCCCGTGGATATCGCGGTTGGTGAAGCTGGGAAATATATGGAAGTCAGAGGCCGCAGAACCAGCCCGTTCTTTGCAAGCCGCATTGCGCAGCATTAATTGGCCAAAACAAGATGGTTTCGTTCGACTGTCCTCCCATGCAGTAGTACAAGATAATACAACTGGCTCGCCGTCGCCAAGTCTTGGATAATTCACAATTTCTAATGCCTATTCTCTTGTGCCAATGCCTCTCTAGGTGTCTCTATTTAATTCACCTCCACCGTTCATCACCCCGCAACACCACCCACCCAAAACTCTCCATGAGCTCAGAAGCTGTGTGCTCTAGACTCCTGAATAGAGCCTTATAACAATCTTACTCAGCGAAAAAATGCGTTTCAAGAGCCCATCAATCTACATTAAGACTGCTCTTCTGTAGTGTGGCTCATGGTCCTTGCCGTCGATCAAAACAATGGAGTTGTTGCTGTGAACGAACAATTCTAGCGTAGTGAGCTTGGCGCATCCCTCTTCAAGTAGCTTCAAGCTGAGCAAATCTTCTGCCCTAAGAAGGACTTAGCCTGCTGGGCATCCCGACCTTGGATCTGACCGAGAACCCAAACCCGAGCCTAGTGTGCAGCATCAGCTAGAAGAGCGAACACAGTTGCAAGCTATCCTAAGTGATTTCAGACGAGACTTGGGTACAAATCATATCACAGACCGCAAGATCCAAGCTGTTGACCTTATGGTTCTTCTGGCATCTCGCCGTGAGGTGCGTTCTCCTGCCCAATCGTCATCCACATCAACCCTGTTGTATGGAAGCAATACTCGGGGGAGCTCTCCCGATATCAAGCCTGTAATGCCTAATGTCAATGTTAAGGGGATACCTCTTGTACTCGGTAATACACAGTGCATATATTGTGTCGGTCAAGAGCAGCTCCCATACAATAGGCGCATGCGCTCATTCAAGCGTGTGTCTCATATGATGGACCATGTGGAAAAAGTGCTTCTCAGGCACGAGCACAAGGAAGGAACGTTTGTTTGCCGCCACCCCCAATGTGAGCATTTGGGTGACTTCCTAATTAGTTTGGATACCTTTAATGACCACGTGCATCGAGTACATGGCGTTAAGCTTCGGGCTAGCAAACCGCAGGAGAGTCTTTAGTGTTACGTTCTTTTGTGTGATCGAATGAACCATGGGGATAACTTGAATGACATGTTTGTACTTTGTGGTAGGCTGCCATTTCATAAAGCAAGGTTAACGGTTAGCACTTAAGAGAGCTTCCTTTGTCCGTTTGAGCCGAGGACCTGCTACCGTTTCTGAGTCATTGCCTATGGGCACCAACTCCAGCTTCGAGGTGAGCGCGTCGACCGCACATCACCTGGTTGGTCACCCTCCCTTGATAACTATCCCTAGAGCAGCTTAACGACGGCCTCATGCCCGTTCTGCACGGCCCACGAAAGCGGCGTCTAACCGAAGTATCCTTCGCCTCAACATTAGATCTGCCCATCTCTAGCAGCAGCTTAACGACAGCCTCGTGCCCGTTCTGCGCGGCCCTCGAAAGCGGCATGCCACCGAAATTATCCTTCACCTCGACATTGACTCTGCCCGTTTCTAGCAGCAGCTTGACAACGGCCTCGTGCCCCTTCTCGGCCGCCCGCGAAAGCGGCGTCCGACCGGTCTTATCCTTCGAATCGACATCGACTTTGTCCGAAGAAAGGAGAAAGGCAAGAATTATCAGCTCATCGCCTTTCTCTGCGAGATGTGAGAGAATACCTCGTCGTTGTAAGAAAGTAAAGTCCCGTCCATAGTCAGGCCGGTTGTTTTCTTTCCGATAACACCCTTCCCAAAGACTGTGAAGTGGAGACGTTGAGGGCATGATTTCTGCTTGGGCTTGTAACAACGTCCGGACTGCTTCGCCACTGTTGGTGGCCCATAACGCTCATCTTCTACTTCGAAGCAGGATAGCTTAGACGGGTGAGCTTTAATGAGATTCCCTATTTTATGCTCCGCCAATATGTAAAGAAGACTCGCATTTGGAGTATGTCGGCGAACGTCGTGCCTTTCAAACAGGTTGTCTAACTTGATCCAGTCAACCAAGCCTGAACCCTTTAAGGAAGCCCGTCTGCTCGACTCCACCTCCTTCCGCAGCATCGGCGTGGTAGAGAACATTTCGTACGGCGTACTCTAAGAATGGAAACGCTTTGTCTGCCGCTTGACGGAGTTCTGCCGCTTGCTGAGATGATGCTTTCGGAAGTGAACTGCCAATATTCAGATCGGTGTAGATGTCAACGTTCATGTAGTTGAGACAGCACTGCTTTAGCCTCTCGTGGCTTTATCCTTGGAAGTTTCTTTCGAGGTCAATCCAAATCTCCTTCAACCCATCCTCTTTGAGAAGAAAATCCCTCACGGATTCGTGTATGAATTGAACCGTGGGGTTTTTGGACCTGGTGACTTCGGCAAGCTCTTTACAGGAGTCGACGACGTATCTCTTTGTAACGGGTGCTGTAATCTCATTGGGATCCCACTGAGATAGAACCTCAGGCTCAACACCGGAGAGGATGGCAAAATATAACTGCTCCGGTCTTAATGGCTGTCTTGTGAAGAGCACCCACTGAACACAGAAGCAGTTCACCTCTATTCTGCTGGTCGCGCATCAAAATGTCGCGGAACAGCTCGTGTAGATCCCCTGGGATGTCTCGGAGTCTTGTTCGAAGCGCATGAACACGGCCACGATCATACTCCTTGTTTAGAATCTCCACCACTAGAACCACCCACAAGAACACCTCAGATGCCTTTTCTTGGACATCAATGCGGATCTGCTCGGCGACCTTACTGTGCCCGATTTTCAATATGCTGCCCAGGTAGGAAGTTATATCCTGGCTGTGTCCTTCTTGTCCTTCGAGCACTAAGCTGAGCCCTTTCTCAAGGGTAATGTGAGGGTAGTGCCTGCTTGAAAAGCAGACCAGGAAGCTAATGTTGGCCGACGTGGTCAGATCGCCTATATGTTCAAAAAATAATACCATGTCTCGGATCTGATTCTCGTCACACTCATCTAAAGCATCAATGAAACACACCAGTGAGGACTTTTCAAGACCCTGCACTGCTTGTTGAAATAGTTCTTTCAGAGACTCGACACTCCATTGCCGAGGCCCGCCGCTCCGTGTTACTAATCCAAGAGAGTCGAAGACGCCCTGAAGGTCTGGACGTCGTTCGAGAAGTTGTTATAGCAGTGATCGATACATCCCAATTGTGGACTTCTCCAAATTGGCCCCTCGCGCGTTGAAGAAGAAGGAGATGACGATCTTGTCCTTCATCTTCTTCCGCGCATGGGCAAGAGCGAACTTCATTAAGGCCGACTTCCCCGTTCCAGGCTTGCCTTTGATCCACAAAAAGCCGTGGTGCTCGTCAAGCTTGCTGTGTTCGGGCCAGTCGACATATTAAGGGGCTGTTAGCAACCACTTACATGTCTTTTCGTGTGCGGTTTTTATAGTCATTTGACGAGCATCAATTTGGTCGAACTTCAAGGAGTTTAGCAACTCTTGTTTCCGCTAATCATCAAGAGAGTGGGTGTCTCCAGTCAGCATCATCTTCTCGGCCTCATCCTTGTTTGGGGGTATTCGACCGAGAAGATCCCTCGCATAAGCAGCCGCCGCCATCGCTGCATACCCTTGCCATTCCTTGTTTTTGTGGGATTCCGAGTAGTCGCATATCCCGTGTATGACCAGGCAAGCGAAGTGATCCATTAGACCTGCCGCTTCCATTTCGAAGCAGAGGACGTTCTTTTCTGCTGCAAGCTTATCCCGAATCAAAGCATCCCTCATTAGCGAGTTTGCAGAAGCAATCAAACCGTAGTGAATTGCCGGATTGTCCTCGTGTTCAGTCCGTTCGCGTCGCGGTACCAAATTTGATATATCATCGGCACAGGTTGCTGCATAGCAGCTTGAACCGTGAGTGATTTCGGCTTTAAATAGCCTGTCAGTACTTGTGTGTGGTCGCTGATACTCCCGTTGCAGCCTTGGGTTTTTTTGTAAGGATGCTGACGAGAGTCGCTTCGAGCTGATGCCCATTCCTCTTATACTGGGCATGTATTCCATTGAACGCAGTGCGCAGTGTAGTCGGAGGCTGGTTCAAGAACCGTGCGTGTTGAAAGGCTTGGTGCTGTATAGTCCTGCCAAAGTCGTACTGGAACACACCACTCTCACTATCGCGAGGTGCACTGACGATAACATCGCCCAGACGAACATCGTGCCCCTCAGTTGGGCAACCACCGGCGATGCCAACCAAAAGACGTATCCTGACGTTGGGAAAGCTGTGCATCATGTTCGTTGCTACGCTGGCCGCTGATACTGTTCCATATTCGCCATAGGGCAAGACGGCGATGGCGACATTGTGGCTCCCAACTCGGCCCAATGTATAATCGTTGTTATCTTGGGGGACCAAATATTGGGGTCGTCCGTGCTCTTCGTCAAGACACTCTATTGCGGCAACATATCCTGTTGCTATAGCGCAGATCCAGCCGACTGTGTAGGCGTCTGGCGGTAAGCGCATCGTGGTTGGCCCCAGCGTTAGTGTCTGGGCATTATTACGATCTATCCCCCTCCTCTTCTCTAGGCTCGAGAAAGCTTCTTCGTCACTCTCGGGGCCAGATTCTCTCTTCGGCATTGTCTCAGTCGTTTGGCTGCTGATACAAAAGGGCGTCAAGCTGAGGGTGTACAGGTGGACTGACTCGGACTCGAAACTCAACGCGGTTCTTCAGGCGAGGTGCGACCTGCTAAGGCATTAACCTGCTGGAGGGGAACCACGTGCTCCGCATCTTTCATGCGGCGGGAGCAACAGGTTACTCAGGAGGAACCAGATTCGAAGCGCGAGAGTCTATGAGAAGAAAGAAAAGAAGACTGGGTTGGTTGGACATATGGTAGCCCCATTCAGTCTCACTAGCTGTATTCGAGGGGCTGGGCACAATGCAGCACGGCCGCTGCCAAATCAGCCAATCACCGAGCTACCGTATGCGTCTGCTACAATACACAGAACAAAACGAGGCTTTCATCAAAGACCTTTCGAAGAGCATAACAAGAGAGAGAATTCCGACAACTGTTTTACAGCACGTGTAGTCTGCTAAACAGCTATATACCCGTCCAGCTCGAAGCAAGTTACGCCCAGAATAAAAATGAACGTAAAACTAACAGCGAGAATTTCGAGAACCTCTCTCTTCTCGAGAATTTCGTGCTGCGTTGGATAGAATATCTGGCAATCCTTTTCGGATACCAGAGCCGGCTCAAAGAAGCTTAAGACATTAAGGACTCTTCTCTGGGTTGCCTCAACACCAGGCATTGTCCAGCCTCACGGCGCAACAGTTTTTTAGGGGCTCAAGCCCCTCCCCGTTGAATGTAGTCTGGCACGCCAAAGGCACAAGGTTGCCCCGTCCGGTACATTCACATCCAATCCGTTTGCGATTACATCTTTGTATAGGCATCCATTCACGATCTGATTCAAGAAAGGACTGGTGATAACGGACGATTCTCCAAACAGGGGCGGGGCTGGGATGTCGCACCGTCGCGTACCAAACGAACTTCTCAATATGGCCGATGCTCCATCGCCTCTGGAGCGGAAGACATAGCGTGGCATTGGCGCGTCACGACACGACCACGATCATGATCACGACCACGCCCTACCTCTGAGGTATCGTACGCAGCTCGGTGACTTGGGTGCCGCAGTTTTCCAAGTCAGGATTCGCATTGAGATCAAGTCGACCTGGAGCGGCTAGCCTTCATATTGGCACTGCTCTCGTAGCGGCCCATGCCAATCCTGTGTCGTCCAGCAACACCCACGGATCGTCTGGAGAGCGGGCCAGTTATTCCTCGGGCCGCTCCGGGACCGCGCTCCTGAGCGGCATGTCCTGGCCGTGTTCATCCGCAATGACCAATCCCAAAACTTGGCCTTCGTCACACGCATGTTCCACGATCTTTCCCCGGCGTGGTTCAGGAGTGAGGTCGTCAACCACACCATGAGCAGTCAGGACCCGAAGACTGGCCGGGAGACAGTCTGGAATTCTTCAGCATCTCCAAAGATGCAGTCGTGCTACAAGAGGATTTTATGTGAATGTAACCCATGGGGGCTGTCGTTCTTGGAAACGTCGCTTCAGCGCCTGGGTGAAAACGGGACTAGACGATACCGCCCATGCACAAAACCGTACGTACAGACACAATGGCACATACGTGCTGGGCAGTAAATATATGTGCGATGGTCGAATTTTCTGAATTAGCGCAGAAGCTTGCAAACAAATTTTATCACTGCCTGTTGGAGCGACGGTTAGTCGTCAATGCGACATTAAGTGGCACCACGTAGGGTGTCGATCGCAGGCTTTCAGACTTCACCAGCGTATTCGTTCCAGTAGGAGAGTTGAAATTGTCGTAGCGAAGAGTAGTAAGTAGTACGGCCCTGTTGCTAAATCACGTCGTCCATGTGTAGTAACCCATAGTGCTAGACAACGTGGGCTGGAACAATTGATCAGCATTAGGCGTGGCATTAGTTCCAGTACGTGAGCTTCCAACGCCCTGTCGAATATCATTTCAAAAGACCCTGCGACGGACAGCACACTGCAGTTCACTTTCGCTCGCTGATAAAATACCACCCATTTTGCTTGCCGTTCGCAACACAGCCAATCAGGGAAATAGTGTGTGTTGTATTAATCGCAAGACTGTAACCGATGCCCTCTCCCCTCAATAAGTAGCCAATACAGATGTTAGAACACATTCTGTCGTGGAACCCAACCAAGAAATCCTCGTCGGTGTGGGGGGGAGGGAATTCTTGCGTACAACTTCGTGACGGCAAATAGAACAAAATTGCAATGTGTCTTGCATAAAGCCTGCTTTGTTTGCCCACCGGACTAACACTGGCTAAGATCTCGTTGTGTAGGTAGAAGTAGGATGGTGAGCTCATAATGGAGGGACAACTCATTGGTACATCATCCCCTCCCCAAAGTTGATCGTGGCGATGAATGGTATCTGCGATCACTATATCCATCACTGCCCTGCCTTTCGTCTTGTGTCCGTGATCATTTTCTGTAGCAACATGCAAGTATATAGTGCGGATTGCTTATTAACGCCTTCAACATACATAGACACCTTTAATACAAAATGCTATGGAAGTCTAAGCACTGCCGTAGTCATCAGGCTGCCATGCTCTTCACCACGCTCCCGCACATGTAGCTGCATAGTTCAGAACGGCTTAATTTATTACGAGTCGGATACAGCTTCCAGCAGTTTCTGATAATAGATTCTTGGGGCCCGCCGCCTGCCACGCATTCCATCATCATTTCTGTGCATGTGCGATGATGGTGACCTTTTTTGGCACATCTACCACACACCAGTAGCTTTTCGTATCGGTGGGCTATGTCATCTGCTAGTTCTTGGCAATTGTAGCATTGTTTTGCTCGAGAGTCCTCTAATGTAGCAATTGGGTGAGATCATTGATAGCGCAATACTATTGAAGGTGAGTGGTACGTCTGTTTTTAGCATTGTGATCGATCTACTGACATGGGGCAGGTGATCCCGCTCTTTTCGACACCGGAATGACGATCGCCGAATCGGGTAGGAAACCGAGCTCAAAGGTCTCAGAAGTCCCGATACCTTCGAAAATGCTACCGTAGCAACGAGACGAGCAGCTGGCCGGGCGATTCACTGAAACTGACGTTGAAAGACGGGAAGAGGGCGTGGAGGAGGTGCACATTGCGCGACAGCTCCCTAAGTGGCGACGCCGTGCTATTACGAGAGACCAAAAGAAAAGAATGTCCGAGATTGCCTGCGCAATGAAGACGAGCTCCAGATGATCAAGCAAATAGTGTAAACGAAGCTACCACGGGACGCGCGAGTACCAGACGATATCTACAAAGCTTCATCTTTCCATCAAGACAAGTCATGGACCTCCAAAGCTCGGGTATCATCCACCCCCGAACTTTCCCTAAGTTTCCCCGCTTGCCCACCGAAATTCGCTGTTATATATGGCGCCTTGCTCTTCGGCAACCCCGTGTGCATCGCCTGCGCACCGTCAATATGGATCTCAAGCAGGTCCATCCTCTTCAGGGTACCGAAACACTTCCTCGCTCTACCATAACTACACGAGACATGCTTGCAACGTGCCAAGAGTCTCGGAATGAGGCCTTGCGTGCATTGCCAGATCTATTGCCTCTTAGCAACTGTGCTGTTCACTTCAACGGACTTGACGATGTTATCTGCCTCGTCAAAGTGAATCTAGATGTGTTAGACTCGTTGAGAGAGGCGGTATTGAGCTATCGGGCTCTGGGACATGGTAACAAGAATGGCGGGGCCGTTGCTGAAATGCCCGATGCCCTAAACTGGGTCAGCAAGGTGACGAAACTAGCATTAGAAGCGCGCAACTCAGACTTCCACGACGACTTCGGTTTTTCGGCCACTGAAGGAATCGATCAGAATCGCCTGCTACGATTTATGTCCACGTTTCCAAAACTGGAGTGGCTATTTCTAATCATCTTGCCGACGCCAGATGATATGGGAACAGTGATAGTCGATGAGACTAACGACGACGAAGGGCATGAAGGAGAAGGTGACGGAGATGCTACTACCATTTCCAGCAATGGCAGCAACAACATTGGCTCCATTAGCGGCTTTTGGATTCGAGGCGAGAATGGGATTAGCGACTGGTATCGTTGGGTACCTCGCAGCACAACATGGGGCTACTCGAATGAGAAAGTGCAGACGCATTTCTCAGATATGGCAATATGGAAGGAAAGTCTTCAGGCGGCATTGCGGCGTCATGGCAACGAAAGCCGGCTGTTGAGATCGGTGCAAGTTGAGGTAATGTTGCATTTCAGGGAAGGCGTCGAGCCACCGAACGATCTGTAGAACTTGAGAACTATTATATATTAGGTCTAAACATCATTTCTGTTTGATGGCTGCCGCAAGCAGGCTCCAGAATGCTGGTTGCCTTACGGCCATGTTTGCGGTGTGTATAATAGAAACCTGACTGTGCCGTCGACTGGTCGCAGGGCTTCGAATTCGCCGCACCAGGACTTCTCCACAAACTAATGGCGCCAAGGCTATCAGAGATCGAGCAAGCAAAGTCAGAACAATTTAGCCCTGCACTCGTAATTGGCATACAGTTCAGCCCGAAGATATAATGCACGGGGGGTGTATTGTACAAAAACCCTACTGGATTCCTCTACCCGACGAATTCTCGCAAGAGCATTGCGTGCAAGTGCTTGTTGGGTCGAGATGGGCGGCGGAGACGGTAGAGCACTTTCTCTTTCGATGCAAATTGTGGAGGTCGGAAAGGGAGGGTATGGTGCGATGCAACCGTGCCAAGATAGGGAATTTGTCTTTCTTCCTGGGAGGCAAGTCTGCATCGGACGGGGAGGGTTGGGAACCCAACCTGGCAGCAATCCGGACGACGATCAAATTTGCAATGGCTACAGGCAGACTGGACGCAGACAGGTGAGGTGATGAAAGAAATTGAATAACTATTGACTATAGTGTGGAATCCTGATCACACAGCCTCACATCGGCAGACCAAGCTCCAGCTGCCGAGGATGGGACGTTGGGCACTTGGAGGGAATGGCCTCTGAGCAGGACGGTCGGTTCACGGAAATGAGGTTTGTGGGTGCAGGGTAAGAATGCATCGTGGGGCTTCAGGTGAGTAGAAAAACGTTACGATCTGTAGGTCATGTAGTGTCAAGGCCCTTTAGGGGTGATCCCTCCGGGCGTAAATAAATTACATTACATTACATTGCCAAAATTATGTCAATGAGAAAAGCTAAGTACTCAAAATTCCCGCTGTTCTTTAGTGCAGGAGCAGTTGTCGTTTCCTTGAACTGTTACAATTGCGGGGTTCCGAGACGGTAAACTTGTTATTAAAGCCAGTGCATGATGGTGCGCAGGCTGAGGCTTCGCCATCAGCACTAAGCTACTTGCGGTCCAACCCACCGGTTACATGACCTGCCGTTTGGCTCACAACAAAATCACACGGCCGCATAAGGCGACAACTTGGCTTACGGCCGAGGACAAAACAGCAAAAGAGCGGGCACGCTCCTGGGATGGCCAGCCTATTCACGGCCGCTGCAATTGCAATACTGCCCGAAGTCACGCCGTCGTGCCAGACCCTTGTCAAAACGCACGTCAGTCCAGCCATTTTCGTGCATACCTTCATGGCGTCCTGACTGCATGTGTACTGTTTTGTGTGAAGGGCGTACCTCAGAGTTTCCTGCAGTATATAAATGCCAAACGCCCACCTTGATTTCGGTCCGTCCTTGTGAAACTTTCTGTGCATGCGAAGTCGAACACTCAACGACAACATCTTCTTCAATTCTGTAGGACACCCAACAAAGCTTCTACCCAGCTTTCCCATTTTTCCTTACCATCAGCTGACTCTATACAGTCATATATCAACTTCATTAATCGAGGCGCGAACATGACCAACAACGGTGGCTTCGTCAAAATCCCTACCGATGAAGAACAGAAACGCATGGACGAAGCGGCGCGAATGTCTAGGGAGAAACGCGACGCTGCAAAAAAGGCACGAGAGGCACGTGAAGCGGCGGAAGCGGCAGGGAAGAAATCTCAGGAGCGTCGTGGTGCTGGTGGCAGTTCGCGAGCGGCGTAGAAGGAAATCTTCTGGTATTACGACAGATATTCGAGTCTCATACAATGCAGGAGGCTG